TCTGTGCTGTCGTTAAGAAGAATGAGGAAACTGTGTGTGGTGTTAGGAAAAGCACCGAGACACAGTAAATTAAACACAAAACAAACAGGTAGAGAATAGCAGGCTCTCATTTGAGCTTAAAAATACACACGCTCATGCACACAGACTCCCAGAAGGACACACAGGGGCTGGGACGGCAGTAGGTACCTCTGGAGAGAAACGGGGCCCCATGAACACAGGTAGAAGGGAGATTTGTTTCCATTTGTAACTTTTGAGTGGTGGACTTGTGCCTCTAGCACCGATTCAGAAATAAATGTGTAGGTAGATAACGAAGGAAAATGTATATTGTATCAGAATAGTGAGTGAAAGGCCCTTCTTCCTGCCTTAAAAATCGAGTTGGGAGATTCTGAGTTTACTTTGCAGGTGGGGAGGCTGAGGGGTTGGGGAGGCCCTGGTCTCCATCACACCCCCGAACCTGACGCACCCCGTTCTGCTTCCCTTTTTCGGTCCGTGTGACTGATGTCTCTGCACTGGGGCTGCTGCCCCCTGGTCCCCGGCACCTTCCTCTGCCCCTGGAGCCCGTCTCCTTGCTTCCCAAGTGTTGCCGCCCTGGCCTGCCTGCCGTGGAGCCACTCAGCAGGCAGCACCCGAAACCCAGTGTCTGCCCGGCCCCAGGCCTTGGCCCGTCCACGTCCACGTGCAGCCCCGTTTTCAGTGCAGGGTTTCGGCCACAGTGGCCTGTCGCAGACCTGGCCTGACTCACGGCGGTCCCCGGGCGACGAGCTTATCCCAGCGAGGTCCTCTGCGAGAACATATCCCACCTTCAAGTCACTTCTAAACCTTTGTTGGTCAAGACTGTGGTCTTGGGAAATGGTGATCAGGGATTTTAAAAATGATAATGGATGTAAAACTACCATCACCTGTCCTATCCTAAGGGAGTTTAGTGACATGTTTTATGCCTCAGCCTGGACTAGCATAACGTGAAGGTAGACTCACACACGGGTGTTTGCCGCTGTAATTAGAAAGGAGCACAGCCTCCCGGCTGAGCCTCAGGCAGGCCCTTGTTTTCAGGTTCTTCTGATGCAGCTTAGTCATCGCTGAGCCCAGTAGCTGCTTATCTGACTTGCATGTGATGATGCCTGAATACAACGCGTTCTCAGCAGGAGGGGCGGCGGGAGGTTGATGTGTCCGGAGAACAGAGTCTCTCTCTGGGAGGAATGAGAGTGGACCCATATAAGAATTCTAATTCTGAATCTTCGTGAAATCCAAATCACGTTCTCATCCGATCCGTGAGGCCTGGGAATGGACAGACGTTGGGCTGATGGGCGCGGTCTGACCTGTTGTGTGTTTACAGGTCGTGTGACAGTGGGGGGCAGCGTCTCAGTGGAGCAAGCACTTCCCAACGGGGAACACAAACGCGGTCCCCTGATAGGGGCGTCAGGCTCGGTTGGTGTGAGCATGACTGTCTCACGGCTCTGAAATTCCTACTGAAAAGCTTTCAGGGCCCATATGGATGCTTGAATGGGTTGGAGGTGGGAGAGGAAAGAACCCGCCGGGGCCCAGGGGAAGGTGGGCCCTGTGCTCCAGCATCGTTGGCTACTCCTCGGCTCCTTGTAGTTGTCACTCACTCCTCTCTCCCGCTTGCCCCGCTCCGAGCATCCTGCCCTGTCAGCAGGGACTTGTCCAAAAACATTGTTGAAAGAGGAGGACTGTCTTTTTTTTTTTTTTTAAGCTTAGCTGTGTTAACTCTTTAGTTAGTGTCCCTGAAAGGGCCTTGCTTTGTTTTATTTTTTTTTTTAAAGCAAAACTGATTCCTTTATTTTCATGATTTAAATGAGACGTGTTATTTCATCTCCACCGCCCGCTTCCCTGACAGTAACTTAGTTACTGAGAGGCGGTGAGGAAGCATCCCGCCCCCTCCCACACTCTGCTCCTCAGACAGGAGTCTCCACTGTTTGACTTCTGCATAGTTTCATCTGCTGCTGACAGGCCTCTGAGGGTCGGGGGTTTGCGGAATAATCTCTCCTGTTGGTAGGAATTAGCTTGCTTCAGTTTCTGTAGCATCTTTAAGTCAAACAAACAAACAAACAAAAACTAAAATTGAATTGGTCCCTAGATGAACTTCACTGACTCTTTGAGATGCTACAGAATGAATCCCACGTCGGTCAACACACATAAATGACCACCATGAGCAAAATGCTGAGCTAAGTGCAGAGGGGGGAGAGGGGGGGTCGGAGGGGGAGGAGGAGGACAGAAGTTCCCTGTTTTTAAGGAGTTTATTTAGCCTCATAGTTGGCTAAGCCGTTTGAGAGGAAGAAGTTAACAGAACAAGGCAATGGTTAATTCGGGGCCTGGTGAGTGATCAAGCTGGCAGCAGCGGAGCCGAGACCACTGGGTTAGACGGCTCTGTGGAGCCAGTGCGCACCACCCCAGGGCCTCAAGGACAGACCCAGCACTGGAGGCCAAGTGCAAGTGTAAGGAAAAGTGGGGTGGACACTACCTAGAAAGAAGCCGGTTAACTTGAGCAGACCTGTGTGTTCTGTCCTTCAGAGGCACGGCTTGGTGGGTTGACAGGTGTGCACCGCACCTTCTCAGTAATGAGCCGGGCCCTGAACCAGGACCACCACAGGGTGAAGCACTCAGCGCCCTGCCCCGCACACAGGTGCCTGCCCAGCTGGGGCCGGGAGAGGCGGGAACACAGCCAGCTTTGCTTCCTAGCACCTTGGTGCTGGGCTAAGCAAGGGGCACCTTATCTCTGCCAGGCTGTGTACCAGGGGGGCTCCATCCAAACAGAGGCCCCTCTTTATTGTGGGGGTGAGGTGGCTCTTGCTAAGGGCACACAGGTACTGCCCGGGACAACGGCGGCTCTACCTCCGAGTCTTAATCTGGCCTGGCCTGAAATGCAGTAAATATTTGAATAACAGCTGAGATGGATTGTTGAAGTTCCACGCACACTGGTCGCCCTACTTCAGGAGGGACTCTCGTGTGGGTTTCTGCCTGATGCCGCTGAAGCAGGGGTTCTCAACCTTCCTAATGCCGCGACCCTTTCATACAGTTCCTCATGTTGTGGCGACCCCCAACCATAAAATTATTTTTGTTGCTACTTCATAATTTTGCTACTGTTAAGAATCGTAATGTAAATATCTGATATGCAGGATATATTTTCATTGTTACAAATTGAACGTAATTAAAGCATAGTGATTAATCACAACAACAATATGTAATTATATATGTGGTCTTAGGCGACCCCTGTGAAAGGGTTGTTCGACCCCCAAAGGGGTCTCGACCCACAGTTGAGAACCGCTGTACTGACGGAAGGGTGCTGTGTGTGCCTTGGGGGGGGAGGGGAAAGGCAGAGATAGGCTTGAAGGCCCCTTAGCAGTTCTAAAATGCTTTTAAACTTGATGCTAAATTTAAGTAAAGTCCTCTCTTTGAAACCAAAGAAGTGTTTTCCTGTTACTATTTCAAGGCTCTCCACATCTCTCTGTCACATGATGCAGTTCGGTTATGGACTGAGGCCCTTTATAAGAGTTCTAAGTGCTTTGAAAAGGACTGACGAAGTAGAGGGCTGGGCCTTTGTCCCTGAATAGGTATCTGTTTAGGAAAAGAAAAATCCTAACTACCAAATGGGAGCACCAGCCATCTGTGGGGATTATTCATGAATCCCTTGTCAGAGATACTTGGCCTTGATTTTGACACCACCATGGAATTTTCACGAGCGGTAAAATGTGGTAAATCAGCAACCACAAAGCTTAACCTAACCAGTAACACTTCCTGCCTGCATGTTCACTGGCAGGTGAAGATACCGAAGGGGTGCTAAGTTCGGATTAAAATGAGCTAAACTGTCATAGCAATGCGATGTTAATAAGCCTTCCCTCCTCGCTCAGTCACCATGGGGTTCTCACATTCTCAGTAAGTGTGTTCTGTGAGTTCTTTGCTGTGCAGGCTGACACCCAGGAAGGTCTTTCCCATGAACAACACCTGTATTCTCCCTCCCCTGGTTCCTGCCTCTCCTCTTCCCACGCTGGGAGTGGTGTCTTCTGTTCCTGAGGCTGAGGGGCCACCCCCGTGTCCAGCACACTGATGGACCTCCATCCTCAGTGATTCGGTGTGCAGACCCTCTTGACCGACTTTCCTCTCTCTTCCCTCTTCACCAAGGTCAAACCTAGTCTTCCAAAAGCCTATTGATGGGATTATATACCACCAGTGTCCCAGACTCTGGGTCAGGATAAAAATCAGTCAGATTCCCAGCCCACCTGGAGTTCTTGCACTGAAGAGCTAATAAGGGGGCTAGATGGATAGATAGGTGGTTGAGGGGGTGGGGGAGTGGATGCATGGGAGGGAGACAGACAGACAGAGACAGAGAGAGAACACACATGTACACCAAGACCTATCAGATGGACAGACCTGAGTTTGAATCCCAACTCAGACAAATGCTAGTTCTGCAAACTTGAATAAGATAGTTACTGAGAGCCTCAGATTCCACATCTGTCACATGGGGAAATAATCCCACCTGGTCTGGGTGGGTGGTTGTGCAGACTGGTGAGAGACTGCCACTTGCCTAAGAGGTGCTTGCTTAAATAACAACAGCCCAAAGTGGGGCCCGGACAACTACAACAGAAGGTGATTAAGTGACACAAGCCGGGCAAACAAAGGGCCGCGGGGTTTCCCAGCAGGCAGGCGCACACCTGGCTGAGGGCTGGGAGTGCCTGTGCGCAGGGGCCCTCCCAGCCTCCAGGTGATCTGCACTCTGCGTGGCGAGGAGAGGCAGGGCAGAGCAGGGCCCGGCGCAGACCTGGGAGGCAGCAAGTCCTCACAGAGTCCGCTGTTTACCTGCTGAAGCCCGCCGAGCGGGGTTGCAATGGAGGTTTGGAAAGGGCACAGCCGCCCCAGTTGACCTCAGCCTGTTGGTGGGGACGGAGGAGCATTCCACGCTCCAGAAGGCGAGGTGACTTCACCATTTTTTCCCGTCCACCCCCGCGCTGGATGTCTAAGGTGAAGCGATTTTCTCTCTTCTGCAGCTCAGAGGCCGAGAATGGTGTGGAGGAGAAAAAGAAGGTCTGCAGGTCGCCCACAGCCCAGTCTCCCACCCCGTCCAGCGAGGCCGAGTCCCCAGACCCGAAGAGAGTCATCTGCCTGCGGTGAGTCCTCACGCCCACTTGGTTCTTCTTGCTGCTGGGAGGAGCTGTGATTCCAGCTCTATGGTGGTGGTTAGGAGTGCGTGAGGGTTGTCTGTAGGCCAACAACACCCCGAGAAAGAAGCGGGTGTTTTTCCTTGAGATCCCGGCACTGGCGCTTGCCTTCCTTGCTCATGTCCTTCTGAAAGAAGCACTTTTCTCCTTCCCGCCCAGCCTGCTGCGGAGTGTCTGGCCTTTCCTTAGAGCACTGGCTTTGCTCACTGATGAAGCCGGGGTGGCCCTCTTTCCAGATTAGGTTTATAAAGCACCTGGGAAGGCCCGCCCAGGCTGGAGTGTCTGCTTCGCCTCTGGGTGTGCACACCTGCTGTCTCACTCTCCGGGCAGCCACGAAAAAGAGTGGAGGGGACCCCACCGGGGGTCCCCAGGCCGGCTGTACAGGCTGGGACCACGGTTTGGGGGTGGGGCTGTGGGGGGCCCGGCAGTTTTGAGATGTGGAGCTGCGGTCCCCATCCCTCCCCGAGGCACCAGTATGTGCTGTCCTTCCCATGAGAGGAATAAGTAGAAAGAGTGGCGTTTTAGCCCTGAACAGAGAAGGTTAAACCAGTTGGCAAGTCCGAGTGAGGTGGCCCTGGATCTGTAGGAGTTGCGGAGTGACCGCCCTCCTCCTGCTGTTAGACCCGTCAGAGCGGCTACCTTCTGCGTCCTTTGGCCCCTGCTAGAGGACGAGTGAGTAACTCCTGCTTTCCCTTTCTTCTGGCTGCCCAGCCCACCCCTTCTCTCCACCTCCATACTTCATGCAGGACCACGTGTAAGTCTTCGCTCTCCCCCAGATTTGCCTGTCACTGCCGGCCCTCGCGCCAGCTGTGCTGCGAGCCTGACCTCACCTCTCACTTTACCCCTGTTTGCTGTAGCTGTTTCCTGTCGGCGCATCCTGTGTCACTCGCCAGATGAGCATGTTGTTTCTTGTGTCTCTCACCATGTGGACTGGCTGCGGCATGCTCCTTTAAAGCACCGCTGGTTTAACTCCAACCTCCCCAGGCTTCTGATGAGATCCATTCTCCTGGCCAGGGCGTGCTTGCTCAGCTGCACAGGGCGTGTGCTCCCCGGAGGTGCCGCCATCCCAGCGCTTGGTTTCAGGCTCGGCTCTCGCTGTCTGGAAATTCTTGGTTTTTTGCATCAGGGGCCCCGCAGTTTCATTTTGCACTGCTCTTGCTCATAGTCACTTGCGAGAAGTGAGAATAACAGGGTTGAGGAGACCAAAGCCATGCTGTGTAAATATGCACCCCTGATGGGTGCTCTGTGTGCAGATAGGCCCCTTCTGCTTTTCCTCTTGACGCTGTCAAGGGCTCAGCTTGTCACCTGTGCTTCCCGTCCATGGTTCAGAAGGTCTGACCACTGCCTTGACCACTCCATTACTATTTGTTCATTTGGATCAGCAGAACTGGTAGGTTCAAATTAGTGGATAGTATAAATAATAGGTAATTTGGCATTTGAAAAAAAATCATTTTATTTTCAAGTACAGTACAAATGATTACTCATAATTTTTTTAGGTAATCCCTAGAATTCTAAAGAAATTTCTATCTGTGAATAGGCTCCATGGCCAGTACCTGAATCCCAATCAGTGTCCCTTGAATAGCTGAGAGGTATCTCACCTGTGGTTTGAGCATCACAGATTCAGAGTCTGGCAGGGGCCTGGGACATCACATAGTCCGCCTTTTCACAGCTGAGAAAGCCAGAGCCTGATGTCCCTCTGACTTCAGGCATTTCTGTCCCTCAGCCACACCCATATGCCACTCAGATTGCTTAAAATTCTCCTTAAATCGGCTTTGAACCAAAAATTTTAGCTGTGCCTCATTCCAAGGAATCATATTGTGAAATCATGGATGTCATGGGCCATTTTCCCCCAATAAACAAAAAGAAAATCTGCATCACCATATCACAAAACTTGTTCATATGTATATATACACAGACCTCTAAAAATCACACATGCACCCACTCTGAGATGACTGTGTTGAGCTGTGGGCTGAACAAATGTGCAGTCACACGTCTACTGAATGGACAGCCTTGACTAGAACTGCCTTAGGAAAGAATCCTGGACTTGACTTCCAAACATATTGTTCTTTTGTATCCCGATTTCACTCCGACTGTTTTCCCACTCTGGGATGTTTTGTCTCTTTTCCTCACACCCAAATCCTGCTCATCCTACTAGGCCCCATGCATTAAACCCACATTGTTCTATTGGTCTCCTCTTCTCTTTCCTCCTGCTAGACTAATTGTCTCTCTACCTCTTCCTAACGCCTGTGATATTATTGTTTTGGTGCTAAATCGTGTACTGCCCTTCTAAGAAGTTTTGTTTTTAATCTATTTTCATTTTCTACTGAGGTATAATTGACATATAACATTATATTAGTTTCGGGTGTACCACATGATTCAATATTTGTAAACATTGTGAAATGCTCGCCGCAGTAAGTCTAGTTGGTATCTATCCTCATCATGCATAGCTACACATTTTTTTCTTGTGATGAGGACTTAGATGTTTGATTGTGCACAGGCTCCTTAAGGATAAAGACTGTCTTGTGTGTCCCAGGCATTTCACACAATGCCCCACTTAATGAACACCTGTTAAATATTAATAGATTTCTGACATAAAAATGTTTTTGATTGAACTATAGCTGCAATTTTGTTTAATGATCTGCCTCCCATACTCTTTATACTGATTAAAATACTTTTGAGGTGATATAATTATTTTCGCAACTGGATGGTTATATTTCTCTTCTACAAATGGCCATGTCTTCTGTCTGAGATTCCAATCTGCTGAAGCCATCCCAGCCCTAGAGCATCGGCTCTGTAAACCCCTGAGAGGGTGACACGTGGTTGCTGACATCCAGAAGGGCAAGGCGAGCGGCAGGTCTTCTTGTGAGATGGGAAAATAATCAAGATGTATTACAATGAGATGAATGAGCAGCATAAAAAATTCATCCTATAGTCTCCCTGGGTTTTCTTTCCTCAGGTCAAAATCCAGTTTCGATGGTGTCTCTTTAGTGAGTGATAAGAACGACTGCAAAACAGAAAGCAAAAATGACTCTAAGATTGAGAGGAAAAAGTCTTCGTCTTCCAGCCAGGTACGCGGGCGTGGGACACGTGTTATCTCCAGGGCGACAGAGCGTGTCGCCAATGGGAAGAAGGAGCCCACGCAGGCAGCTTCCCGCTGGGCAGGACTACATGGGCATTGGTTGTAGAGGATCTAGGAGAAAGGGCGGACCACAGATCCTTCCATCGATTTTTCATCACGATCATAATTTACAGCTGACCTTTCAACACATATTGAGTGGGACTGAGCCCCAGATTGTACCCCTAACTCTGACAGGTGCCCACAGGCACCCCCAGCAGGGATCGGCACCGAGTCCCATGCTTGTCTCATAATTGGCCAAGACTGGGAGAGGTGTGACATCCTTGCATTGAAATGATGGAGTATGGGGACAGAGGCCACCCAGCTGCACACAGAGGAAGACCTGCGGACAGGGGCATTACTTGCTTCTGCTCTAAAATACTAGTATATCGAGGCATCGAGGCCCAGTTCTGCGCCGTAGCGTGTGACAGACTTACTGGGCCAACAGTGAGGTTTTTTTGATAATTCATCCCTAAATACTTGAATATGTGTCTCCTAAGAACTATTACAAAACACTGTTGGCACACCCAAAAAAATTTAACTAAATAGTAAGTGCAGAAAATATATTATTAATGTGAAATCCATTTTTTTCAAATGTCCACAATCATCCCAGTAGTGAACACCTTTTATAAAGGCTTTTCTGTTTCCCCTCTCAAACATCCGCTCAAGAGCCAGGTATTGCTTTTCATTTCTATCAGTCCCACTACCCTTTTTTTAAAACCTCTTATAACAATGATATGTTTGAAGAGTCCATGGCCCGGGATATTTTTAAATCAAGTGGTGCTCACTGTAGCCACTAAAAAGAAAATCTCAGTAAAGCCCCCTTGCACAGCTGGTAACTTCCTGGAAGCAGGTGTACTCCTAGGAGGCGGCGTGAGGTAACCTACTATATGAGGTGTTTATCTATAAAATAGTAACTTGGGGCCGTCCGTCATCTGCACGGCCTGTCTGAAGCTCTTCTTGACAGCAGTACTAGGGCCACTTTCGCCATTGGGATCACACCTGGTTTGGCTAATAGGACATCAAGGATCTGTTTTGCTCCTAAGAGTTTTCCATCGAAAGCATCTGTCAGGCAGAGGGGTGCCTGGAAGGAGGACCCAGCTCTACGTCTGAGAGCTGTGGTTCCAGGTAACCCCGTGTCTCTGAGGCACAGTGTCCTGACCCAGGCAGTGGCGATCCTGGGGTGGTTTATAAAAGCATTTTGCCAAGTGTGAAATTTGGTCTGTACATTGTTGTCAGAGTTGTAGAAATAGATGCCTTGAAAATGAAGAGGTTTTCAACATTTCAGACTCTTGGGCCTTCTACCTCCCTTGACAGAAACCCTACCGGTCTTGACGGTCATCTCCCTGGGACACTGGCTAAGGAACCGCCTTCACAGTAACAGTGTTAGTGACAATCCCAGGTAGTAGGTCCTTAGCCGTTTTGTCCCATTTGAGCCTTAGGGCATCCCATGGAGGCAAGTCGTTTTTTTGTTGTTGCTGTTGTGGGTTTTTTTAAATATATTTTATTGATTTTTTTACAGAGAGGAAGGGAGAGGGATAGAGAGTTAGAAACATCGACGAGAGAGAAACATCGATCAGCTGCCTCCTACACACCCCCTACTGGGGATGTGCCCGCAACCAAGGCACATGCCCTTGACTGGAATCGAACCTGGGACCCCCGAGTCCACAGACTGACGCTCTATCCACTGAGCCAAACCGGTTAGGGCGGCAAGTCGTTTTTGACCTCTGGCACAGAAGAGGAAGCTGAGGCCCAGAGAGGTTTAGTGACTAGACCACAATCACATACCAAAGAAGAAGTGTGGCCAAAACTTGAACTCAGGTCGATGTGACTACAGAGTTTTTAATAGACTACTCACCTGTAGCCTTAGTGCCCTGGTGAGATTCCTTAGCATCCCTTTCATTTCTTACATGCGACATCCTTATCCAGCATCTGGGGAAGGCCAACCACCCACCGCATCATGGTTATACTGTACATGCAACCAGCAGGGCACTGATCTTGTTGGCAGAGGAACCCTTCGTGCCCTGCCTTCCACTGAAGGGTTGTGTTGGAGACTGTAAGATCAGAGAGATGGAATTCATGAAGATGCTGAAGTAAGGGAGGGAACGTGTATTGTGTCATTTAAATTGGAGTTAAAATGTGTGATGTTCCACAAAAAACTGAGAGCGGCCATGTCTCTGTTTTGTTCCCACTGTAGTACAAGGCAAATTTGCACTTCCACAAGCTGTTTCTTGATGTCCCGTCTGAAGAACCACTGAGGCAAAGTAAGTTGGCTTTTAAAGCTCCATAGTTGAAAAGATGCTCATTGGTTTAGGGGAGGAAGAGGGCTGGGGACTGAATCACCGAGGGGTGGTTTCTGAAAGTCACGAGGCAGCCGCAACGCCAGCTTCATTCAGCTCTCACCGAGGCTCTTGAAAGACGCGTAGAATGGGAACCTGAGTCTCCCTACTTGATATGGAGTCGATCCAAGATGATTCCAGAATGAGGTCCTCGCCTTCCATACCTACTGCTGAAATGCATTGTGTTTGGATTGTTCTGAGATTTAGGATAACAAGCTTGGAGCAAGACAGGCCACGAAGAGAAGGCTAAAAAGACACACAGATCTGGGTGGACAGACATGTGCTGACACCTGCATTGTGCAGGGCGCAATGATCACACCTAAACACCCTGCCCAGCGTGCCAGCTAAGCACCTGCTCGCTGCTGGGGTTCACCAGGGCCCAGGGCTCCATTCCAGCCCCTCCGTGTACAGTGCTAGGACGAGATGCTGGTTCCAGCCATGATCCCCAAGCAGGAAGGCGTGGGTCACATGCTGTACCAGCAGTTGGACCATCTATTTCAAAGGGCGTCACTAGTGACAGTCCCAGGGAAGGAGGGCAGGAGTGCTAAGGTTAGCACAAAGGGACACACCTTCCTACATAGAGGAGATTCCTGAAACACCATTCCTGAACCTCATTGGCAGTGATAGGCCTGCCTTTCTGGTTTGATTTTCATGCTAAAATGTGTAAAACTTTGAATGAAAAAAACAAACCCTCATCTCTACACTTTTATTCCAGTGAAGATGACTGAAAGGGGATGACAGATGTTACAAGCATGGGAGTGGGTTGTCTCTGCCCATCCCTGAGTCACCAGCATCTGTACAGAATTCTCGTTCTGAATATAAATTCCAAGTGATGTAATACGTGTTTATTTTCTCAGGCTTTACCTGTGCTCTGCAGAAAGAAATTTTATACCAAGGGAAGCTCTTTGTGTCAGAAAACTGGATTTGCTTTTATTCCAAGGTCTTTGGAAAAGACACTAAGGTTTGTATCATTTTTCAGGAAGGAAGCTAACCCTGTGGATAGTAATTGCTTTCAGTGTAGCAATATTTGTCAGTATTGTGTCATTATTATACCCTTAATGGTGGTTCCAAGAGGGACAGGTTCTGAGTGACAGGTTCTTAATGCGGACACCTCCCTCTCTCCCACAGTCCTGCCCTCAATCCTTCTTACCCGGCGGTGTCACCAGAGAACGCGTTATTCCTATGAAAAGTGTTCTACCATCAGTTTTAAGGATGTACATTAAACTAAAACAATTTGTTAAAAGAAATCCTGATTTTGTTCTGTATTCATACCAGTTAACCATCTAGAAAAAGCTGCTTACAGAGTTCACTGTGTACTATTGCCAGCCCAGAAGGAGCAGGAACTGCAGCATTATGACGGAGTCTGAGAGTCATATACCCACAATCCCCAGTGGGTGCTGACTGACACCTTGGCATCCCCATTAAGTACAGAGCTGGGGAAACAGACGCCCGTGACACACTGAGCCGCTAAGGAGAACAGCCTGAAGGAGTTGGCGGCTTCCCAAGCCACCGCCTTCTAAAACAAGGCCCTTGGGACTGTGGCATCAGAAGGGAAGAGAATTCCATGCCTCTGACATTCTTGCCCTTTGAGCTGTGCTGTCACATCCAGGCCACCCCAATAAGGAGTCAGAGGCACGCCGTGTTGGGTGTGCGTGACCGCAGCGAGGTTTCAAGCATTCTGATTTGTGATTATGAGTAAGCAGCTTTTCTATTCATGAAGTAGCTGATTAAAAATTCTCTTTAAGTGGTAGGTATGTTTTATTTAAGTATTCTCCCTACAGCCACGGGCAGTCTTCTAGCTAAAGACCACGTAACCAATAAAATGGAAATTCTTTATTTTGTTGGTGTTGAGTCAGCAAACTAGCATGCTATTTTTAGATCGAATGTTATTTTTATATTGTTCCTTTACTATATAGAGTTGTTTTAGATGCACAGTTATTGTCTGAATCATTATAATGCAAAGTGATATTAAGCAGTATTCCACCCTATTTCTAAGATTTCTGGATTCTAAGACCTTGTTCATGGAGTGGGGACGGGGGTTGGGGGTTGAGCGCCATCCAGTTCGAGGTGGTAAAGATGCTGTCAGGAGTTCAGGGAGAGCCAGCAACTAACTCACCGAAGCAGCAGGGTGTGAAGACATTAGTGAGGAAAGTCTTAGTCTTCCTTTGTTAGGGATAGGGGAATTCACAAAGCCAGCATGTGCAGTTTCACACGCATACGATTCTGCCAATGGTTTCAAAATCCTACTGCCATCTACGAGAAAACTGACCCAAAAAAGGTAAAAGGAGTGACCCTGTGTTTAAAGGCTTGCCACGCTGGGGTTGCTTTTGCATGGGCTATATCTAAGAGACAGGAGATTGGAAACGAGCAGAGTGGGGACACAGGACCGGGACAGGGACGTGTACATTTCTTCCCCTGGAAGGATGGCTCAAGGGGCCTCAGCTCCGTGGCGGAATTTCCTCCCTGCCAGCAGGCCTGGGCCCAGCACCATCCAATGTGAACTCAAGGCAACCACGATTTTCTCTAGGAAGAGGACTGTTCTAAACACCCTAAAGTGTAGTGTTAACTTAATCAGGGCCTTTTAGCCCACTGGTATTCTCAGATGCTTGTAAAATTAAATGTGTGCATCACATTCCACCTAGGCTCACACTAAAGGTTATTATTTCCACTTTATCTCTCATATGTGATCTAGTTGTCATTTTATACTCATGAAGCAACTGATTGAAAACTCCTTCTTCAGGGGGTTCCGTGCCTTAGATTATGAAAAGAAATCCTAAGTTATAGCCCCTCAACACTGCTCAGAAACAAAATTAAACGCATTTTTACATCGCCATCTGTCTGAGTAGATCTTGACATCTTTTTTCCAAAGTCATCTCAACCTACAACTGGAGGGACAGTAGAATAATCCCACCTAAGTGTGAATGCAAATAGTCAACATAAAAAGCGTGGTTTTTCCTTCCTTTAAATTGCCAGTATTAACTGAAGGACCTCCTTTTCCCCACTGACCTTGATCTCTTTCAGAATATATAAAGCATTTTTGCAAAATATATGTTCAAGTGAGTGGGTGCACCTAGAGAGAGGTTCAGGTCATATTCTTTTTACCATGGGTGTGTGTGTGACTCTGTTTTCAGAGATCAAAGTGATGTGATCCCTGAAAACCAAACTGGGTTGAAGGGATGCAGCTATAACATAAAAGTATCAGGAGCATCGACTATTCTTTGTGGCATCTGATACATTCTTGTAGTATATTATACGGAAAAAGACCTACACTTAGGATAAGATTTGTTCAGATTCTGTCTTTGTAACTTACTATATTTATGACCTTAAGCAAGTCATATGCCTCGCGACACAAATGTCCTTATCTCTTAGAATATCTACTTTACAGGAAGGTCATAACTACAGAAGGTCTCATCTGTAAATAGGTATTAATAGTAGCTGCTACAGTTGTCATTGTTATTCTTTATTGTCTGAACCAGAAAAGAAATTAGAGTTCTTCTACTTCACCCATCCTCTTTACATGAGGCAAATGAGGAAGTGAAGGACAGTGTCATTGAGTGCTAGGCATTTTCCATACATTATCTCATTTAATCCACAGAACATCCTGGGAAGTAGATAAAACTAACCCCATTTTACAGATCAGGAAACTGAGGCCTAGAAAGGATAACTCATCAGGTAGAGGAGGTCATCTAGACAGTAACAGAACCGAGCTGAGAATTCAAGTTCCAGACTTTCTGTCCAGTAATGGTTCTGTTACACCAGTGCTTTTCAACATTTTGCCCTCCCACATGTGCCTGAGACAGAGGAGAGTGGGGTATGGGAGATTAGCCTGCAAAAGCAACCTTCTTTAGAGCCTGGGACTTATCTTTAGCATGCATGTAAATTTTGCATTCTAGTCCCAAGTCTAAAGATAAAGGTTTCCCAGGAAGCTGTTCAGCGGGACTGATGATCCCGATTTATTCCCTGGCTTTGCATTAACAACAGCTTAAGGAGCTCAGGGACACACCCAGGCCACTCTTTAAGATGGGCTTTCCATGGATCCCAGAGAGCCTGCTGCTGATTTGTTATCGGTCTTTTTTTTCCTTTAACAGGAAAACTTGAAGTGTTGTTCTGTGAGGTCTTCACCAGTGTGTTAATGCAGTGCTTCTGTTTCAGATCTCTATTCCGGCTTTCTCCGTAACCCTGATAAAGAAAACCAAAACTGCCCTTCTGGTGCCAAATGCCCTGATTATAGCGACGGTCACAGACAAGGTGAGTATGCCCCAGAGCAGGGCACCTCTCTCCATCCTGCTCTGCTCTCCCTTCCCTCCTGCCGAGACCAAGACCCTGGACCATAAATATCATTATCTCCCACAGGGAATCACCAAGTATATGTAAGACTGATCTGTAAAATCCTAGCCTGTAGTGTTGTTTCCCCTCACAAGATGATTTCTTCTAATATCATTGTTGCCAATTTTTAATTTCCCGCTGACTTATTTATATTTGCTTGACCGAGGCCAAAAAAATAAAATTTGTTCCCAACTTCCCTTTCCCTAACATCTGTTAGGTCAGGCTAAGTTGATGTTCAGTGTCTTTGACATGATTTAAAACAACAACCATCCCCACCTTGTTGACAGGGTGGGGCGGGTGACACTGAGGAGTCCCTGCAGTGGAGGTGGCCAGCCGCCCCATAACCTCCGATGGGACCTCTCCAAAGGCATCCCAAATACCTAAAACGTGTGCTTGTTATGCGCACCCAAATTCAGACCAGTTCCTGGCTCCTCTTGGCTTCCAGGTTGCCTTACCTATGCCACTTTTTTTATTAAATACTAGAGGCACGGTGCACAACATTCGTGCACTTGAGGGTTAGGGGGACCCTCATCCCGGCCTGCGCCCTCCTGACCCCTTAGGGAGCAGGCCTAAGCTGGCAGGTGGACATCCCCCAAGCGGCCCCCGAGAGGCTCCCGCCAGCACTGCTGCACTCCCCAGCCGTAAGCCCGGCTTCTAGCTGAGCGGCGCTCCCCCTGTGGGAGCACACTGACCACCAGGAGGCAGCTCCTACATTGAGCGTCTGCCCCCTGGTGGTCAGTGCACATCATAGCGACCTGTCATTCTGCCATTTGCTCTATTTGCAAATTAGCCTTTTATTATATAGAATACTTTTATTGATTTCAGAGATGAAGTGAGAGGGAGAGAGAGATAGAAACACCGATGAGACAGAATCATTGATTGGCTGCCCCCTGCACATCCCTTACTGGGTCTCGAGTCCGCCAGGTGCCTCCCGTTTCATAGGTCAGTGCTCAACCACTGAGCCACACGGGCTGGGCTCTATTCCACTTCTGTACGGGAATTCTCAAGCTGTTGTTGACTGTTGTGATGCCACAGTCATGTGCAACCAGAAATATTTTCACTGAGAGATGTTTATTTCAGCTTGGGTAGAGAGAGGGAGTGGAATATTTTGGTTACCCATATTTCACTTGAAATTATTTTTTAATATTTTGCATACTATTTCTATGAAAGCACAAAAGCCACATTCCATTTGTAACCATACTGGATAGTTGAAGAGGGAAAGATGAGCTAGAAAATATGTTAATACCTATTTTTGAAAAAATATTTAGATAAACTAATGGCTAATAAGCATCAAGTACTTCTTGCCAGGCATATGCTAAATACTTTCCTTATGTTTTCCCATTTATTCTACCCTACCACCCTTTCAGAGGTAGATATTGTTAAGAAAACTGAAGCTAAGAGGTCCTAAGTAAGCAATTTGCCCAATGTCGCCTATTCCGTGTCAGAGCCAAAATTTGCAACTGGGTCTGTATAATGCCAGAACTTATAATGTTAACTACTTTGGGATATAATACTGTATTATATTATACTAGAGGCCCAGTGCACGGATTCATGCACATGAAAGGAAATTAATTAGAAGGTGAATGGTGGGGCGGGACTGGGTGAGACGGGCCAGACATGCCCTGGAGCCAACCTCCCATTGTCCCTCCCCGGCTGGCCGCACCTGGAGCAGCACTGGGGCTCAAAGGGCATCTGTGGAGTGAGTGGGGTCCCTCCAGCAGGTGGGGTCCCTCAGCCTGTCCTGCGGGGATCGGGCTGAAACCGGCAGTCCGACATCCCCCAGGGGTCCCAGAGTGTGAGAGGGCACTCTGCAAAGTTGCTGTCGCTCAGCAGCTCCTGCGTTGAGCATCTGCCCCCTGGTGGTCAGTGCGCATCATACCTATCGGCCAGTTGGCCAGTTGCTTAGGCTTTTATATATATAGATCATATTGGAAATTGTATCAGTTTCTTTAATGGGTGAATTGAATAAGAGGGGTAATCACAAAATTTGGAAAGTGAGCCTGGAAAGATTCTATGGCTCAAATACATGGAGAAAGAATGAGTTTTAATATTTTTCTCAACATACTGTTTAGGGTAAAATCATTTTTCCTTATGTCATTGGTCTCCAAATTACTTGTCTGGCTCTGATTTTACTTCTTTCCCATAACTCACTTATAAGCACCCTCTGCAGAAATCTCCATATTTGTACAAGAAAGGATCTGGAAATGGCTTGAAAAAGAAAGAGCCTATTAGAGCCCCTGGGAAATTTTCAGTGGAAAGCTAGGTCAGCACAGAAAAAGCAGACCCTCAGGAATTGCTAGATGCCTAAACAAGCAAACAAAAAAAAAAACAACAAAAAAGGAGGTGGAGAGGGTCTAGTACAGTGGTCGGCAAACTGCTCGGGAGCCACATGCGGCTCTTTGGCCCCTTCGGTGTGGCTCTTCCACAAAATACCAGCTCTTCCACAAAATATCGACTTCTGCGCATGGGCCACAAAGTTTCAATTGCACTATACATGCACGCCTGCACGTGGTATTTTGTGGAAGAGCCACACTGAAGGGGCCAAAGAGCCGCATGTGGTTCCAAGCCGGGGTTTTCCAACCACGGGTCTAGTAAATATCACTAGCCTTTTCTTAATGCCCAGGTCTTTTCCTACTGGTGCTGATTTGGGGCGCCTTTCTCAGGGTATTGGAGCCTTCATTTTTCTGTTTGTCCATTACTTCAATTGAGTTTGAGGGTTTTGTTGCTATCGTTGGGGAGTATATTTCCTTTAGTGTGGGAGTGGAATAAGAACTGAATGTGTGGGTGAGCAGGATGAGGATATGGACCAGAGAATGGTCTGTATCATTTAAAGTGAAAAAAAAAGATATACAAAGAAATGTTTGAACTCTGAATACGCCCTTCTCATCAGGCAGTGTCTGTTATTAATTACTCTGTTTTGTTTTCAGTACATATTTGTCTCCCTCCTCTCCAGAGATTCTACTTATAAACTACTCAAATCCGTGTGTGGACACTTAGATGTGAGTACATTGCCGAGCCCCAGTGACTTGTCTGTCTTCCGTACTTCTTACAGCTCCATAGTTAACCTGGTGTTTCATTTTGTTTCAATCATTGCAGAATACAAGTGTTGGTAACAGTCCCAACCCGTCTTCTCTTGAAAACAGTTTCCGGGCAGACCGCTTCCGGGCAGACCGCCCTTCATCTCTGCCTCTGGTGAGTTGCCTACATAATGTCTAAATGCAAAAGAAAGGGAATATGTGATGCAACTGCGCGTCTCCTTCCGCCATGACCAGGGTGCAGGAGGAACTTAGGGCCGTAATAGTTGAGACAAGACGAAGAAACAGGGCATTTGTGTCCTGAAGAAGAGGATGACCATAGGGGGTCATAAACTTTTTTCAAGGAATTGAAGGGTTGTCCTGCAAAGGAAAAGAAACCCGGTAGTGGGCTGCCTTGGGATGACTGGTCATCAGAGATATTCATAAAGTCGTGCTGCATTTGCTTGTCATTGTTACTTTAAAAGGATTCACCAATCTATTTGGGTGGGTGGGGCATGATTCATCCCACAAACAGTTGGATGGCTTCTGTGTTGAAGGTTCCGTGCTAGGACATGCTTTAAGGACATCAGGAAAAATCTAACCTAGTTCTTGCCTTCAAAGACTTGACAGCCAGCTTAATGGAGAAGATGAGCAATACCTAGAAATAACTAAAAAAATTAAGCTATAGCCCTAGCTGGTTTGGCTCAGTGGATAGAGCATAGGCCCGTGGACTGAAGGGTCCCGGGTTCGATTCTGGTCAAGGGCACATGCTCCGGTTGTGGGTTTGATCCCCAGTTGGGGGTATGCAGGAGGCAACCAATCAATGATACCCTCTCATCATTGATGTTTCTCTCTCTCCCTTCCTCTCTGAAATCAATCAATCAGTTATATATATATATATATATATATATATATATATATATATATATAAATAAAGCTATAATGCCCAAGTGAAAGGTAGAGATTATTTAGTTCCTTTAGACCAGTGGTCGGCAAACTGCGGCTCCCGAGCCACATGCGGCTCTTTGGCCCCTTGAGTGTGGCTCTTCCTAAGCCTTAGGAGTACCCTAATTAATAACAATGTACCTACCTATATAGTTTAAGTTTAAAAAATTTGGCTCTCAAAAGAAATTTCAATCATTGTACTGTTGATATTTGGCTCTGTTGACTAATGAGTTTGCCGACCACTGCTTTAGACTTTGTTGACTGCCAAGTAAATCTCCTGTGGGGAATAAGTCCCCCCATTTGTACACGATGTAGACCTGTGATGGTGTAAGCTGGCCCAGGAGAGTCCTAGCCATATGATTCAATTGATTATTCCCAAATTGATTATTGTTAAATGTTGAAATACCTTTGGTGAAATGGTATGAGCCCATGGTTTCAAGATCTACAAATCTTGTTTTTTGAGAGCTATTCAGAAAGTAGTAAGATTGAAAATATGTCCACACAAAAACTTGAACAAGAATGATCATAGCTATCTATATATATAAAAGCCTAAGCGACCATCCAACCATTCGTCCGTTTGCCTGGTAGCTATGATGCGCAATGACCACCAGGGGGCAGACGCTCCGACCAGTAAAGGAGGGAGCCTGATTCCTCGTGGAATCAGCCGTGGGTTAGGTCACTGCTGGGGCACTGTTGGCCCCAAATCTGCTTCACCCGCATCCCAGACCCAGAGAGGAGGGAGCCCGATTCCGGGTGTGTCACCTGAGAACCACCCTCTCGCAATCCAGGACCCTTCAGGGGATGTCAGAGAGCCTGTTTCGGCCCAATCCCCGCAGGCCAGATCGAGGGACCCCACCAGTGCACGAATCCATCACCAGACCTCTAGTTATTCATAATAGCAAAAAAGTGGAAACAAACTTAATGCCCACTGATTGATGAATGGATAAACAAAAAGTAATCTATCCACACAATGGAATATTCTTTTCCTAAAAAGTAATGATGAATTACTGTTACACACTACAATGTGGATGATTCTTGAAAACATGCCAGGTGAAAAAAGTCAGACACAAAAGGCCACAATATTGTATGATTCCATTTTTACAAAATGTTCCAAATAGGCAAATCCATATGGATGGAAACTAGATCAGCGCCTGCCAAGGAATGAGGGAGAGGGAAAAGTTGGGAGTGACTGGGAATGGGTAAAGGTTTCTTTTTGGCAGGGTGATAGAAATGTTCTGAAATACAATAGTGGTGATGGTTGCACAATATTGTGGATTTTCTAAAAACGACTAAATAGTACACTTAAAATGGTGAATTTTATGTTGTGAATTTTTAACTCAATTTAAAAAAAAAACTTCTATAAAACCTTTTAAAAATAGTACAAAATAGAATTAAACGCATATGACTTAGAATCCAACAAGCCTGGTTTCAAATCTGGTTCCACGCGCTGAGCTATGCCCTCGGACGGGCTCTGTAACTGCTCTCCTCAGTTCCCTCATCTAGCACAATGCCAACCCCACAAAGTGGCTGTGAAGATTAAGTGCAATCCTCTGTGTAAGGAGCTTTGCCCACTGCCTCATACATGACAGGCATTCAATACATAGTCATTACGTTGAAAAGACTTGAATTTTTTCCATTTTCGTTCCCTCTAAAAATCTTACATGACATTGAAATGACCCAAAGACAGCTAGTTGAAGGTGGAAGGTTGGCAACTTGCTTACAAGACGAGTCTCTTCTTCATTTGACAGCTGACTAAACTGTAGAGTGCTCAGCCCACGGAGCCTTCCCAGTGTGTTTCAGTGACAGCCTGGTCTCTGGTTCCGAAGCATGTGGGGGGAATGGCTGGGACTCCACGTTTCCCCTACTTCTCACTCCCTTATCACGCTTCTTTAATTTACATGTAATATTGCTGGCCCTGTTTTGATTTAGTGAAGGGAAGAAAAAAAAGCTAAAGTTTTCCTTTCAGGGTCTAATTTGTTAAAGCCATTTGCCCTTGCCTGTTTCCAATACCTTTTTTTTCCCTTTTATTGTCTAAAGTTTTACATATGTCTCCTTTTTCCCCAATTGACCCCGCCAGCCATTCCCACCCTGGGCAAGCCCTCAGTGTCTGTGTCCATTGGTTATGCTAATATTCATGCATACAGTCCTTTGGTTGCTCTCTAACCCCCCCTCCCCTTCCATTTGTCTCTAGATCAATCTATTCTTGTTCATCAAATTATGTTGATCATTATCCAACACCTTTTTTAAAAAAACTATAATTGAAGAATACCTTTCTCTGTATCTGCATATTCAAACATGCATTTAGATCTTTCTGTCTACATTTTTCTTTTATATACGTCTATTTCAGTCCCTTTCTTATCATAAAGTGCTAAGTGCGGCTTCTGCAGCTTTTCAGTCATCAGCATTCCAGTGTTTTTCTAGACATTTGTTGTTTCAAGCAGGTTGGCCACTGTTGTTGATAGAATTCTAACTGCCCGGAAGAATCTTGGTTTCAGGAAGCAGATCCCCAGTGATCTGTAGGGAAAATCCCAGTAGTTTGGGGAAATCCTTCCTTCCTTTCCATATTTTATAGGTCAGGCCTAAGGAAAAAGGCTGGGGCCTGCAAAGGCCTGCCTTCTTCATAAGGGAAATGGCCTCTCTCCATGTCATTACTTCCCTGCAGGATTTCAACGACGAGTTCTTAGATCTGGATGGAGTGGTTCAACAAAGGAGGCAAGAACTGGGAGGCTACAGCAGCTCCGGCTCGCAGACACCCGAGTCCGAGAACTCCAGAGGTCTGGAAAGTTCTGTATCTTGACTAACTTTTCATTCTCCACGAAACATCTTCATCCCACCCCTTAAAAACACAAAACAAAACCAACAACAAAACACCCGTTGTCTTCCCAGTTAACAACTGGAAAGGGAATCTGGGGAAAGTTCCAGCACACGGATGTGCCTATGTGGTAAAATTCCATTTCCATTTATGCATATTTAATAAATGTCTCATAAATCGACATAATACTAGGTTGATTGAAAGAGAGAAACATACTGTTTCCTTCCCTCTTTTAAGAATATTATGAATTGTTACAGCTGAATCATCTCCATGAGTCCGTGGGGTAAAGACAGACCGTCCTTATATTATTTTATTACTTAATTGCTCCATCATTGGATTGCAATCCCCAGCCATTCAACCAGCTTAGGAGAAGATCCATTTATGTACTTGGTCATTGTGCATGTTGAGAGCTTGGTTTGCTTTTGTGGTTGATACTATGTTTTCAATGTTTTGAGGAGAGTACTTACCCAGCCCTGTTTGGCCTGACAGATTTCCATGTGACAGAATCCCAGACAGTCCTCAGTGTCTCCAAAGGAGAAGCAAAGCCAACGAGGGCAGATGTCCAGGTGAACAGAGCACCTGAAGGCAAAGCCAAGAGTCTCCCTGCACACGGTGAGGAGCAGATTGGGGGCAGGGGCAGGGGCAGGGGATGGAAGATCTGCTTGTAACTTTTAAAGGGCCCTCACATTTCACTTCGTGGCTGCCTTTCATATCCCATCCCCTCCTTTCCTGTTGTAGGTCTTTGCATATTAATTTACTTATTCATTCAACTAACATTGCTCAGTCCTCTGCTTTACTGTGGGGGATATAAAGGTGAACAGCCTTCATGGAGACCCCTCTGTTACTCAGAATACTTTGAGATTGTGATTCAAAAAAATGCTGTTAAAACTCAAATTAATGAATTATTTCTTATGTACTAATCTAATCTAATAAAAGAGAAACATGCAAATTGACCATACCTCTGCTACACCCACAAGCCACGCCCACAAGCCAATCAGGAGCAAATATGCAAATTAACCCAACTAAGATGGTGGCAGCCACGGAGCTGGAGCGAGCAGGAGGCTTGGGTTGCCCCCAGCAATGGAGGAAGCCAAGCTTCCCGCCTGCCCTTCCGGCCCTGAGCTCTGCTCAAGGCTACAAAGTTTCAATTATAGAAGATAAATCCTAGATACCTTGCTTCCAGCCCACAGCTGTGGCCAGCCTGAAAACGGCCCTCAGCCCCTCACCCAGGCTGGCCAGGCACCCCAGTGGGGACTCCAACCCTGAAGGGGCTGTGGCCAGCCTGAAAACAGCCCTCAGCCCCTCACCCAGGCTGGCCAGGCACCCCAGCAGGACCCCGACCCTGATCCAGGACACCCTTCAGGGCAAACCAGCTGGCCCCCACCCATGCACCAGGCCTCTATCCTATATAATAAAAGGGTGATATGCAAATTGACCCTAACAGCACAACAACTGGGAATGACTGGTCACTATGACACACACTGACCACCAGGGGGCAGACGCTCAATGCAGGAGCTGCCCCCTGGTGGTCAGTGCACTCCCACAGGGGGAGCTCTGCTCAGCCACAAGCAAGGCTGACGGTTGCCAGCACAGCGGTGCTAGGAGCCTCTCTTGCCTCCTCAGCAGCACTAAGGATGTCTAACTGCAGCTTAGGCCTGCTCCCCGCTGGCAAGTGGACATCCCCCAAAGGCTCCCAGGCTTCCAGAGGGATGTCTGACTGGCAGCTTAGGCCCGATCCCCCAGGGGAGCGGGCCTAAGCCAGCAGGTGGACATCCTCCGAGGGGTCCCAGACTGCGAGAGGGCACAGGCCAGGCTGAGGGACCCCTCCGAGTGCGCAAAATTGTGTGCACTGGGCCTCTAGTCTATATATATAAAAGGCTAAGTGACCGGCCTTTACGGCTGTCCAACCGACCAAACGACCGGTACATATGACACACACTGGCAATTTAAAAATAAACATCGACTCACACATGTGCGATACATATAAAGCTCTCACTGGCACCAATCGCACATGTGTGTTTTGATCTGTCATTGTTGATCGTGAATTTGGTTGTTTTTTAACACAGTTGTGGTAGAATAACTGTTACATGTCAGATTCTTTGTCCTCAAAATGAGCACGTTCATAAATTAAATGAAGAAATTTTGGATGTACTCAATGGAGATTTTCACACATATTTGAGTGATGATTCCATCAATTCAACAGATGATGCCAAAAAGAAAATTTTCTCATCGAATTTCTTACTAGTATTACTCCTTTGGGAATGCCGTGTCATAAATTAAAATTGAAAGTAGTTTCAATCATCATGCTACTGAGAAATCTTAATAGTAAATGGGGTCTTTGTAATGGTTTATCAAAAGATTGCGACCTAACATAATCGAAGCTGAAGTATTGACTGGATCTGCAAGTTAAGGAGAGGGAGGGTTGTTCTGATTCCAAGAACTGATTTGTACCCATCTGACACTGGCCTCCCATTTAAATTAATTTGAAGACAGTTTCCCATGATGCCAGCATTTGCGATAACTATTAATAAATCACAAGGACAAACTCTAGACAGAGTAGGAATATTCCTACCTAAACCTGTTTGCACATGGTCAGTTATATGTTGCTTTCTCTCAAGTTTGAAGAGCATGTGACGTTAAAGTTAAAGTTCTAAATACTTCATCACAAGGGAAATTAGTCAAGCACTCTGAAAGTGTTTTCACTCTTAATGTGGTGTACAGGGAGATATTAGAATAAGTTTAATCAATTTATCAGTTGTTTTTATCAATGTTTTTATATCTCGTTTTTGTTGTTTTTATATGTTTTTGTTTTCATATCATGTCTTTGTTGTTGTTATATCATGTTGTTATTGTTTATTTATTAATCAATTTATATATTATTTTCATAAACATTTTACTAATATTCTTTCATCTCTGACACTTCTATTATAGAGAAAGGGAGAATAGCAATATTAAAATATTTCTTCTAATTAATTTCCTTTCAATGTGCACGAATCGGTGCACTGGGCCACAAGTTATTCTAATAACCAGTTACCAGTTGTACTGGTATGAGGACAAGGATGGTATCTAGATGATTCACCATTCCCACCAACAATGCTTAACGCAGAGGAGGCCCTCAGTAAATATGGACTGAAGGGAACGTTTGGAAGGAATTGTAGCTGCTGGTTAAAATGACCCCGGGAAGCTTCTGTTAGTATTTGCCTTGACTTCTATACTTGGGAATAATTATCTGTTTCAAGTACCTCTTCCCCATAGCAATATTGCTGGAAGAAGGTGTTTTAAAACTGTCACTTTTTGTTTTCTACTCAACAGGTCAGTCAGAATCCATTGGAATCTTACACAAAGTGAAGTCTCAGAATCATCCGACTCTCCGCCATATTCTTATATTCTATGCAGTTGTGTAAGTAAATGAATTTACTAGAAGTGACTTCAGGAAATGATTCAGTTCTCGCCCGGATGGCATAGCTTAGTGGTTGAGCGTCGACCTGTGAACCAGAAGGTCAGGGTTTGATTCATGGTCAAGGCACCTGCCCAGGTTGTGGGCTCCATCCCCAGTGTGGGGCATGCAGGAGGCAGCTGATCAATGATTCTCTGTCATCATTGATGTTTCTATCTCTCTCTCCCTCTCCCTTCCTCTCTGAAATCAATAAAAATATATTTTTTTAAATGATTCAGTTCTGAAAGGAATCATCTTTTCATGTGGCCAAGAGCCACTGTAAATCTCAGTTGTGTCTAATGTGACCCAAATCTTTTCTTCCACGGTTTTTGTCTCCTATTGCAGCATTTTTTCCCCTTAAGCTCCGGTCACATTTTCATGTTCATCCCTTTCTCATTTAAAAAGTGAAAAGAGGGAGGAAGGAAAAGCAAACTGATTGTGCCAAATCCAGCGGAGGACTAAGGGTTGAGTGGATGCTATTGGCTGGGAAATTACAATGAAGCATCTTTGTCCTGATTGTTTATTTTCCATCCAACTCATGTTCTCTGGCTAGAGGCCAAAACAACTTGAAAATGTCATCCCCTTGATTGAAAACATAGGCATTGACTTTTTAACTTCCCCCTCACTTCCAGTCTGTAATCAGTGGTTCTGAAAATAGCCGGACCCAGTTCTGGGCTCTTCCTCACACCAAGGAGGACAGGCCCAGTTTGGTTTCCAGATAAAGCAGGGAATCTGTGAGTCACCAGAGAACAAGACTGGGCACTCAGGCTGGGCCGGGGAAGGAGTGAGGGAGGCAGCGCCAGGGGAAGGGGGAGCCTCGGGGGTGGCCCGGGAAAGCCTATTAGAATCTCTTGTAAATTCAGGAACTTGGGCTAAAGAATTTTAAATCCCTTGCTAGCTCTAAAGTTTTGTGACAAGCATCTACCTTTGAAAAAAGATCTTTTTTAAAATCTCTTTGGCCAAGTTGTTTTAGAAAATACTTTGCCTCAAAGAATGTACAGTTGGCTCTGAGTTACTGTTTTATTTTGTTTTGTCTTGTTAATCCTCACCTGAAATATTTTTCCCATTGATTTCTAGAGGAAGAGAAGGAGAGTGGAAGGAAAGAAGGGAGGGAGGGAGGGAGGGAAAAACATTCATGTTAAGAGAGAGATATCGATTGGTTGCCTCCCGAATGATCGGGATCAAACCTGCAACCCAGGTATGTGCCCTCGACAGGGAATCAAACCCAAGACCCTTGTGTGTGTAGGCCGACGATCTGACCACTTAGCCACACCGACCAGGGCTGTCTCTGAGTTTATTATTTTGTGAACATCAGGGCCTGGCCGTTGACCACTGAGATTTCTCGTTTTCCTTTCCAGTGTCTGTGCACTAATCCTCTCGACCTTCTACATGCGATACAGAATTAACACCCTGGAGGAGCAGCTGGGGTCACTGACCTCCATTATGGACACCCATCACGCTGAGTAAGACATGTCCCTACTGCGCTAGCATCTGCTTGCTATTCAGATTAGTAGGATGTTTGACCTGAGTTTAGCAACCTTCTTAGCAAATATTAATTAAGCATACATTTTGTATGAGATATTTTAAGTGTATACATGGGGAATACAGAGGTGGGAAGGTCCCAGAAATGAATGACCTGACTGTGCATGTTCTTGAGTTGCTATAGTGTTGCCAGTGATGAGGCAAGAAACAAGCCTAATTGTACATTATCTTGTTCTTTTATCCTGAGACTCAGTTGTGACCTTGGCCCATTTATTAAAGCATGAAAGTTTAGCTGAAAGGGCAGGGAGTCAAGACATTCATAGGAGAGAAGCAGTTCAAGTAACTCAGCACATCTGATCACCGATAACGCTGTATTGGCCCATTTATTTACAAAACTCTTCCTCACTATAAAGATCCACGTGACTAGTAATTGCTTGATGGTGCCTGTGAAATTTTTCCATCACAGTCATTTTACATGCCTGACCTAATTAAACCTATTCAGACAGAGAGCCCTTTCCTTTAAACCCATTCCCATGAGGATTTTGACGTACTGCCTAAAAAGTAAAATAAAGTGTTATTCCACATTAGGAAACATACGTTTAGCAAATGTTCTAAAAGTAGGGATATTCCTCTACACAGAGTCCACACCATGTGCTGTTGACTCTATTAGAATGGATATACACATGCGCAAACACAATTTTCTCTCACTGTACCTTATTACTGCTATTCCCCTTTTACAGATGAGGTCACTGAGACCCAGAGAAATAATTAGCTTCATGTCTTACAGTTTGAAATAGAATCAGGATTCAAATGCAGCCTGTATGACTACAAAGACCATACACTGCCAGTCAACCAGTGGCTACATCTACAACTGAGAAGAGCAACAGTTCTTGCAAATTGATGCTGTAGTGGGGATAGAGAGGTTACTGGAAGCTAATAAAAAGGGTTTAAGAAACCACGGGCTTGAGCATAATTGTCTGGTTTTTGTTTGGAAGCCGAGGCACATTGCAGCCACTTAAACAAAAATAGCTTCAGAGATTTCCAGCTGAGCTGTTAAGAATTAGTCCCCAAACATCCAGTCCGGAGTAGATTACTGCAGGGCCTTTCTGATGTGAACAAGTTAAATGCTCACTCTCTTCTGCTATAACCTGGTTTTCTGTTCATGTACATGTCAGAGGTGCTTCTTCCACTTCCGTCTTGGCCGCTCCGGCCCGCGGTAATGTTTCTCTCTGTCCTCGCAGACAGGCAGCGCCGTCCAGCCTGGGGTCGCAGGTGCAGTTGAACGCAGAGGCCCTCTGCCGGGAGCTCACCGTGAACATCATGAAACTAGAAAAGGTGATTTCTTTCCCGTGCTGGGGCAGCCGTGGCGGGGCCTGCCGCTTGCCATAGATCAGTGGTTACACATTAAAACCCTGCTGGTGTGTGCAGCAAGCAGCCTACATGGCCAAACCCAGCCCGGGGAATCCATGGTAATGTGAAAGACCATTTTTTATTTCCACCAAGAAATAGGTTCCAATCTCTCATTTTCCTTGTTGGTCTGTCTCCTGGCTTTCCTCCTTGGTTAGAAATAGTTCTCTGTGCCACAGAGCCCAGGGGCAGGTGATCTCTGACACAGGGCTGGGGGAGGGACCCATCAGGGAGTGTCCCAACCGAGAGCGCAGCCCCACCTCCACCCAGGCCCACGGTGGCCACACAAATTATTGCATTCATTCCCTGTCGTAACCCTGAGAGATGGATGACGCTGTTCCTATGTGACCGAGAAGAATCCAAGTTCCTATTAACTTGCGCAAGGAGACAAGGCTAGGAAGTCGGCAGACCTGGAATCGGAAGGTCTGTGTGACCTCAGAGTTGTGCTTGGAAGCCCCCTGCTCTCCTGCCCCTCAGAATCCAGCCTTAGTCCTCGCTGATAGCCCACTGATGTGCCTGTACCACTAAAGGTACCTTCCTCTAGGGCAGCTGTGGGGCAGGGCTGTCCTCATGCCTGTGGTATTCTTAGAACTCAGGAGGAGAGCGAACAGGAGAAAAAGCCAGGCATGCCAGAAATATCCTAGTTAAGCCTGCTTAACATTTCTTATCCTGTCAACGTGTTTGTCCCTTCCCCCCTAAAAATTTGTTTTCACCCTAACCCTTAAGGAAAGGGTTCGAGGAGTTAAGTGTTCAGTTCAAACCCACAAATGTCCAATAGCTTCCCACAATAGTGCAGTTACACTTACTTGAAGAGAAACATGAACTGCAAATGAGTCAAACTGTTTGTTTTGCTTTACCAAATGTTATCTAACATTGAACCACTGAAGTATGGAGAGCAAAGGTGTTCCCAATCTCCTGTCCTTAAACCAGGGCGTGCCAGATCCTTCCTATCACTTCATTGTATCTCCGGGCTGACTTGAAACCTTTTTCTCTTTTAAATCGAAATCAACCTAGAGAAGGTGTGGGGTAGCAGGCAGAATTATTTTCCTTTCTAGAATGGTAGTTGTTGAGACTTGAGATAATTTTTAGTTTTCTTTGTAATGAAATGTTTACCAGTGTTTGGGCTTCTATGCTGACCAAATGAGTGGGCTGGTTTTGATTTTCTATCTTGCTCCCTCTGGCATATGCCGGAATTCTTTGGACCAGAAGCACACAGAATCCTGCCGCCTTCGCCTGTGTTTCTTCCCATTCTCCTGCCGGCCTGGCTGGGACACCACATTCTATAAAGAGTCAGAAAAACAGGAGCTCAGACAGAGCCCCGCCACTCAGCTACGAGGCCACGCTAGGTTCCTGGAGAAACCTTTGTCCTGAAGCAGAAACCGACAAAAGTGGGTTTAGAGTCAAACGCATATGTTGATGTTCTAAAAAGCTATAAAGTGCACACATGACTCTAAGGAATGGAAGCAGAAGTTACGAGGCCACACCCATGTTCCTTGGGGTCGGTCTGCCCCCCAGCCAGAGGCAGTCGGGCGATGGTGCAGCACAGCCTGCTGGTGAAACCGCAGACAGCCGTGTGCGGCGGGAACCGGAGCCCCGTCTCAGCTCCTTCACTCAGGACCGGCAATTCCCTTCTACCCTACGTCAGGGACTGTTCTTGTCTAAGCCTCCTGATCTGCTCTGCTTGTAACTTCCCGATTTCTATTCATGGCCTCAAGGCCCTTCCATCATCCTTGTTGGAAATCTAAGGATAATTTTTAACCCCCTCCTCTTTTCCACTTGCCTAATGAGTGGAGAAATCCTCTGCCGTCTGTCTTCAGATGCTTCCCAGGGGCAGCATCTCTGCCCATTCTGGCCCCTTACACCCAGCCCAACAGCGGGCACTCCGATCTCATCATGGTTTTTATTTGCATTTTCCTGATTACCACCACAGGTGAACATCTTTTTATATATTTATTGGCCCTTTGGATTTTGTTCTGTAAATTATCCCCTTTGTTTTACTTTGGGGTTTTTTTGTCTTTGTAGGAATGTTCTATATATTTTGGACATCAGTTCTTGGTTTCATTTCTTTTCTTTTTTTAATCTTTATTTTTGAATATATTACAGAGGTCCCCCTTTTTTCCCCACTCCCACCCCCTCCCTGTGTTTGTCCATGGGCTCTGCTCATATGCATATACATTCACTGGTTAATCTCTTCCTCCCCTCCCCCCACCTCCCCTCTGAAACATGGCAGTCTCTTGCTTGTTTTGGTGTCTCTGGGTCTGTTTTGTTCATCAGTTTATTTTGTTCTTAGGATTCCAGAGTATTATGCTAATTGAAATAAGCCAGTCAGAGAAAGACAAGTATCACATGATCGCACTCATATGTGGAATCTAATCATTTCTTTTTCTGTCTTCCCACTCCTGCTTTTATCTTTGGTCCTGTGGGATAGGTAGGGAAGACACGAAGTAGGAAGGTGGAGGACGAAGGCAATGCCTTTTGTGGGTAAAAAAGGAAATACTTATTTTCTTAGTATTGGAAATGGCATTCATGGTGGAACAGTACAGAAGGAAGAGCATATATCGTGGAATCAAACCTCTGTTCTTATCCCTACTCTTCCCTTTACTGTCTGTGCAACTGGTCTTTTTCCAGAGCCTCTGGTCCTCGGTTTCCTGTGTAAACCTGCCTGTGTGGTGGTGGTGTGTGGTGAAGGGGAGCATGCGTGGAGTTCCTGGCACAGATGTGTTAAACCCCTCCCTCTTCACATAGCCTGCGTGTGCCTGTAGGACATCACAGACTCTTTTTCCAAAGAATACATTCTCTTCTGTTTCTCAGTGTTCCTTACTACCATTCTCTGGTGAGAATGTCTTGCTCTGAATTATTTTAAGAAAATGTTTACTCAACAAACATTTTCTAAGGACATTTTTAATGCCCAACCCTGTACTACTGTAGTCTTGAGACCCAATGATATGGCATGGTCCCTGTCCCTGTGAAATTCACAATCTTCTGGGAAATGTTGTATGATATCTAATAAGAAAGTTAAATGTTATTGTTTTAATACATTTTTTTATATCAGAGAGGAAGGGAGAGAGAGATAGAAATATCAACGATGAGAGAAAATCATTGATCGGCTGCCTCCTGCACGCCCCACACCGGGGATCGAGCCCACAACCCAGGCATATGCTCTGACTGGGAATCAAACCCTGACCTTCTGGTTCATAGGTTGACGCTCAACCACTGAGCCACGCTGCTGGGTGGAACTTTAAACATTATTATGTGGTGTTTGTCTCAGACTATCCAATGGGCTCTGTAAGGACCAGCTCCCTGCTGTGTCCGAATGCTTTGGGTCACACCTGGTATCTCCAGTGCTGTGTAGTTCTTCCTCCTGTTTTCTCTTGGTCTCTTCCGACATTTTATCTTTGTGCCGCTTTCTTTCCCAGCCCTCTCTTTTTTCATTTTAAAGTGGATTGTCTAACAGTTCTATTCCTTTAGAAAGCATTTGTTTGGCTGATCCAAAGTTAGCCACTGGGTAGTTGTGTTGTTTTTTTTAATAATCTCAAGCACTACATAGGCCATAGCAAATATGCCCTTAATAGACCCCATTCTATTTAATAACAGGAGCTTCTCTGTTATTGTTTCAAGATACAGAACAACTTACAGAAATTGCTTGAGAATGGCGACTGACCGACCAGACTGCTTGGGCCAACGTGATACCTCGCGCTTCCCTTTGAAGAAGGTGCTCCCGGAGGCGCCCGGCGAGTGCTCCCTGCTGGCCGGAGGAGCGAGCGGAGAGGCACCCAGCCACATTCGCACTTGGAGGTCTCCAGCTCAGGAAAGGGGGGAGGGGAATGATTCTGGTTCCTGTGCAATAAAAGTTGACCTTGACTCTCTGAGGAAGTGTTCCGCGTCGCTGCCTGAAGGAACCAGCCCCATCTCGGGAGGACCTGGTGGACACTCGTGAACGACTGTGGTTCGGTGGCCATCGTGACTGTCAGCAAACACTCCACAACGTGCCTTGTCAGTCCCTCCCCCCTCCCCTACACCGCAGCCTTCAAGCTAAGGGATAGATCATGTGCCAACAGCCCCGAGCTGGCCCTCTGAAGATTTAGCCATAACTCTCCGGAAGGCAATAAGGAGCTCTAATGGACAGGCTTGCTTCAAAGAAATGACCCCAGCATTTTGTCTTTTTTTTTTTCCTTCTACTGTTATGTTCTGGTTTAAATCATCTGTGTATCCTAATTTCTCAATTGAATACTGGCAAAAATATTGGGCAAAGCAAATAAACCATCCATTTACATTTTGTTTTGTCCCTCTAACTAATACGTAATTGAACTGATTCTCACCCGCCCCAAGTCAAGAATCAGTGAGACCTGGGAAATACTAAATAAACTTACTCGAAACCAAAACTAATCTTTAAACCAAAAAGTATAATGTGATTTGATACACGATGAAAAACATGGAATTTTTAAGATTATAGGTGGACTATGTTACTTTTGAAAAAGGATGTCTGTATTGAATGTTGAAACCCATTTCAGCATAACGACAGGATGCTTTTGTGCTTTTGCTGACTAAAGAAATAACCGGTGGTTTGATAACTTCTATTTACCATAGGGTTGCCTGGTTTTTATTAATAATTATTTAGGTACTGTAAGATCTGTAATATGAAAGGTATTCCGTTTCTGTCTGCAATGCATTTTATAATCATTTCTATGAAATGTATTTTATTTAATCAGATAAGCTAATAAGTGAATTGGTTACATCATTTGTGTCTGTTAGCCTACTGGACAAGAATTGTGCCTGGTGCACCCTGGCTTTTAATAAATACTCATTGGTGAAAACACCTTGCTAGCACTGTTCTTTATCAATTTCTTACTTCTTTTAACAGACATATTTTTAACTGCTTCTTACTTCCTCCCTACTACTTCCAACTCACCCATACTTCTTTTCTCCTGAGTATTCATTTCAGAACTCAAAATTATTTAAATTTGGGCTGTAATAATATGAGGGAAAGAAAAAAACTCTGAAATCAGAAAACCAATGCTGGATCCCTGGGTCCACATTTTATGAGTTGTGTGACCTTAAGCAAGATATTTGGCCATTCCTCCCCCGCTCCCCCCCCCCCCGCTATTTTATTGAAAGGACCAACAAAAAGTCACTGTGAGGAGTAAATGTAATAATGTCTCTAAAGTATACTGCTGTGTCATGCAAGTAGTATAATCTCATAACAGGTTACCTTTCATGTCCAGCATTCCAGTTTTATAAAAGTTCTATGTCAATGCTTTTTTAATTTCTTTTATCCTCACCAGAGGATATTTTCCTATTGATTTTTTTTAGAGAGTGAAGGGGAGAGGGGAAGGGGAAAGAGAGAAACATCAATGTGAGAGAGAAACATTGATTAGCTGCCTCCTGCATACTCCCCACTGGGGATCAAGCCCGCAACCGGGCATGTGCCCTGACCAGGAATTGAATCATGATCTCTTGGTTCATAGGTCGATGCTCAACCACTGAGCCACGCTCTCCGGGAGGGAGTCGCTTTTTCTTGTTCTCCCCCCTCCCCCAACAATCATATAGTTGACTTTTCCAAAGAGAAAGAAAGCGCTTCATTTCTGGACTTAGTTTATGTACTTTTTTTTTTCCCCCTTTGGGTATGTTGCTGTTTGTTTTATTTTCTCTTTTATTGGATGTATTGGGGTGACATTGGTTAATGAAATTATATAGGTTTCAGGTAATACATTAATATAATACATCATCTGTATATTGCATTGTGTGCTTACTGCATGTTTTATTTTTTATAACTGGCTCCTAAGTCAAAATCTGGTGCAAGTGGCCCTGGCCAGATGGCTCGGTTGGTTGGAGCAGCATGCCATACACCAAAAGGTTGTAGGTTCCATTCCCAGTCAGGGCACATACCAAGGTTGTGGGTTTGATACCTGGTCAGGGCGTGAATGAGATACAACCAATGTTTCTCTCTCACATTGATGTCTCTCTCCTGCTATCTCTCTCTCTCTCTTTCTCTCCTTGCCCATTCCTCTCTCTCTAAAAGCAATAAAAACATATCCGTGGGTGAGGATTACAGTTAAAAAAAAAAATCTGGTGGAAGTGGATCTAAATGTGACACCCAGGTCATATGTCTACATATTAACTACAACAAGCATCTGGGATTTTCAGCCTCTACTACCTAGCTACCAAGGTAGAGAATCTTAGCATAGGAAGGGTTTTCAGATGCTGAGGAGCTAAAATAATAGCAAATGTCTACCATATACCTTGCCCCTTAAAGCTTGAATATTTATCCTTACAGAATCAGAAAAGAATAAGCCTTAAAAGAGATTATTGGTTGTAATGCTATTCCAATAAATTCTGACATTTTAATCTATGATTATATACTACTAGAGGCCCGGTGCACAAAAATTCATGCACTGGGTGGGGTGGGGGGGAGTCCCTCAGCTCGACCTGCGCCCTCTCACAGTCCAGGACCCCTCAGATGTCCATCTGTGGCTTAGGCCCACTCCCCGGGGGATTGGGCCTAAGCTGGCAGTCAGACATCCCTCTGGCAGCCCGGGAGCCCTCAGAGGATGTCCAACTGATGGCTTAGCTGCAGTCGGACATCCTTAGTGCTGCCAAGGAGGCAGGAGAGGTTCCCGCCACTGCCGCTGCATTCACAGCTGTAAGCCCAGCTTGTGGCTGAGCGGAGCTCCCCCTGTGGGAGCACACTGACCACCAGGGGGCAGCTCCTGCATTGAGTGTCTGCCCCCTGGTGGTCAGTGTGTGTCATAGCGACCAGTCGTTCCTGGTCGTTCTGCCATTGGGGTCAATTTGCATATTACCCTTTTATTATATAGGATTTTGGTGAATAGAAATTACCAGTCTTACATAAACAGGAAAAGCTATTATTGACATCTCAAGTTTTGTTACTATTTAAGATACCTTCCTACATACTCTACAACACTCCAAGGCGTTTCCCAGGTATGGATTTATGCAATTCTTTGAAACCATTCCAGACACATTTTTTTAAAGATGACTTTTCATTGTTGTCCACAACTTATTCTAATTCATAAATTCATGGACTCAAACCAAAAGATTTCCATCTTAAATATGAATTATCTCGTGCTGTTTTGATTTATGTTTCCTAATAGTGAAATTCAAGAGATGCTTTCCTTGTTCATCTGTTTATTTCTAGTGATCAAAAGGTCATGGGCACTAACATGTTACAGATAGCCCAGGTGACTTTGCTCTCAAGCATTTTTTAAAAAGTCAGAGTCCTACACATCAGTAAGAGTTATGCCATCATTCATAACCAGATCTGCTCACAAAGAAGCCCAGTAATATAATATTCTTTTCATGTGCTTCTTTTAAGCCTATCCCTGCTGCTAATATTACCAGTTCTTGACTAAAATAAAAAATTCAGATATTAAATGAAGTGTCTTTGATCACTGAATTTCCAGCACTTCTATGTTATTTCCAAATGTGAAGCCTTACCCAAAGCAATTTTTAGATTCAATGCAACCACAACCAAAATTCCAATGCCATTTTCCACAGAAACAGAACAAACAATCCTGAAATCTCAGTGGAAAGACAAAAGACCCCAAACACCCAAACAAAGCAATCTTGAGAAGGGACAAAGATGCAGGCACCATCTCTCTGATTTCAAACTATATTACAAAGCCATAGTAATCAAAACAGTATGGTACTGGCATAAGAACAAACACAGATCAATGGGAAGAGAGAGCCAAGAAATAAACTATTGTATACATGGTAAATTAATTTATGACAAAAGAGCCAAGCATATACAATGGAGAAAGGACGGTCTCTTCAATGAATGGTATTGGGAAAATGAACAGCCACATGCAAAAGAATGAAAGTGTACCACTACCTTATACTAAACACAAAAAAATCAACTCAAAAATAGATTAAAGACTTGCCCAGCCAGGGTAGCTCAGTGGTTGAGCGTCACCAGGGTAGCTCAGTGGTTGAGCGTCGACCCATGAACAAAGAGGTCATCGGTTCGATTCCCCATCAGGACACAGGCTGGATCCCCAGTAGGGGGCGTGCAGGAGGCAGCTGATAAATGATTCTCTCTCATTATTGATGTTTCTCTCTCTGAAACATAGGAGTGAGGGAGTCACACAGGGAAGCAGGCATCTGTCTGTCCTGCCAAAACTTTACCAATTTGGGGCATGTTAGCATGCCTCCTTCTGTCTCTGGAAAGCTACAATTATGCATTTCACAGTGTAGCTTGTTCTGTTTCTGATGGTCCCTAAGCTATATGTGCCTAAATAACTTCAGCCACATATTCATTCTTCCCTCCCCCTATGATAATGGGGTGACAGAATAGCAAATAATCACAGGACCCGAGAATCGAAGATGGCGGCATAGGTAAACACCGGAGTTTGCTGCCTCGAACAACCACTTCAAAAATACAACTAAAAGTCGGAGCGGACATCAACCAGAACCACGGGAAGGCTGGCTGAGGAGAGTCTCTTCAACTAGAAGCAAAAACAACAGCATTCCGACGCTCAGCGGAGGCGCAGTGTGGAAAATTTAAAGGTACGGCGGTGCGGTGGTGAGGGTGCGCGCGCAAAGCGGGCTGGCGGCTGAGGGCGCGATTGTCGTTTTCAATCAGGAGCGAGTCTCAGACTCTGGGCTACAGATCCGGGCGAGTCTCTAGGGACCCAGACTCAAACGGGAGAAGCGGGACTGTCTGGCTACGGCCCCTCCGAGGTTTGCAGCGGTTACGGGGACAGAGAGGCAGAGCCCCTAGGGACGGACTGAGAGCAGTCATAGCGGCTCCCTCCCCCCGCCCTGTTGAGCCCGCCCCGCCCAAGCCCTGCGCACGACCATTTGCCGACCGCCTCAGGCAAAGGCTGGAATAGCGCCTCCCCAGAAGACAGACATTTTCCACAGCTGATTCCTACAGCCAGTCGGCCTGGTGGTCAAACCCCTCTAGTGTTAACTACAACAATTAAGGCTTGGCTAGAACAAGACTGCGCACAGAGACCACAAGGGGGTGCACCAAGAAAGCATATAAGATGCGGAGACAAAAAAACATGACAGAAATGGAGGATATGGAGCTAAGAATCGCAATTTTGAGGGCTTGCCATAAATTTGTGCAGAGCCTCACGAAAACTAATGAGACCCTCGATGCTACGATAAAGAAATTAGAAAGTAAGCATACACGGACTGAAATAAAGAATATTATACCCAATAGCAGACCAGAGGAGCACAAGACTCAAACCAAAGATTCGACAAAAAACACCCAATTGGAAAAGCAAAATGAAAAAAGAATCCGAAAGTGTGAAGATAGTGTAAGGAGCCTCTGGGACAGCTTTAAGCGGTCTAATATCAGAATTATTGGAGTGCCAGAAGATGAGAGACAGCAAGATATTGAAAACCTATTTCAAGAAATAATGGCAGAAAACTTCCCCCACCTGGAGAAAGAAATGGACTTACAGGTCCAAGAAGCGCAGAGAACCCCAAACAAAAGGAATCCAAAGAGGACCACACCAAGACACATCATCATTAAAATGCCAAGAGCAAAAGACAAAGAGAAAATCTTAAAAGCAGCAAGAGAAAGAGGCTCAATTACCTACAAGGGAATACCCATACGACTGTCAGCTGATTTCTCAACAGAAACTTTGCAGGCCAGAAGGGAATGGCAAGAAATATTCAAAGTGCTGAATACCAAGAACCTACAACCAAGATTACTTTATCCAGCAAAGCTATCATTCAGAATTGAAGGTCAGATAAAGAGCTTCACAGATAAGGAAAAACTAAAGGAGTTCATCACCGCCAAACCAGTATTATGCGAAATGCTGAAAGGTATCCTTTAAGAAGAGGAAGAAGAAGAAAAA